GACTGGGGGTTAGGGCTTCAATGTGTGATTGAGGGTGAGAGGGAGGTGGACACAATTCAGTCCATAACAACTACACACACCCCAGAATGGCTGTAATGAGAAAAACAAACAAATGATATCAAGTGTTGGAAACTGGAACTCTCATACACTGATGCTGGGACTTTAAATTAGTCCAATCATTTTGTAAAACTGTTTAGCAGAATCCAATAAAGCTGAATATATGCTTATCCTATGACATTCCACCCTTAGGTATTTTATCTAAAGCCAAATGCAAACATATACTCACCAATAAACATGTACAAGAATGCTCACAGTAGCACTATTAATAACAGCCTCAAATAGAAAATAACTCAAATGTCGACATATAATAGAAGAGATAAGTAAGTTATGGCATATCCATACAATGGGATATTATATGACCATGTAATTAAATAACCCATATCTCTACATGGCAGTATGGATGAAGCTTATGAACATAATGCAGGCTGGTGGAAGCCAGACACAAAAGAGTACATGCTTTAAAATTTCACTTAAATAATGTTCAAGAACAGGCAAGACATAATCTGTGGTGTTAGAAGTTAGGCCAGGGGTCATCCCTGGAGAGGGAAGCAGTGGCTGGAAGGGAATAACAAGAGACTTCAGAGACGCTGGTTGTGTTATGATTGGGTTGCTGGCTGCATAGCTGTGTTCAGTTCATGAAAATTCATCAAGCTGAATAGTAATCATATGTGCATGTTTCTGCACACATTTTACACTTCAGTAAAAAGTTTTTCTTAAAACAGAAATATTCTGAAGACTCCACATCATCCTAGAATAAAGTAGTCCCCCAGTACTGTAGCCTGGCCTGAGGCTCTGTGACCCTGCCCCAGGCCAACCTTTCCAGCCCCATCCCTCCTGCTCCTGGCCAAAACAAGTCATCACCTTCACCCACAATGCACCATGCTGCTTCATGCTTTCCACATCATTTTGCTTGGTTAACTCTATTTTAAACTTAGAAAGTCAGCTCAGGCTTTATTCTCCACCAGGAAATTTTCCCTCACCCCACCCAACCCAGGCTGAGTTACAAGTTCCTGCTCTGTCCTCCCTTCACATTTTATTTGTACTTATCATCCTTAGTGCATGGCACCATCATTTTTGGTTTACAAATCTGTTTTTGCTGCTGGACTGTGAGTGTAATGAGGACAAGGATTATGTCCTTTATCTCTGTATATGCATCTAGTAGTGTCTAGCACATAGCAAATGTACAATAGACTTCAAATAAATGAATAAAGTAGTTAATGAAATTTTAGTTTACATCTTGATTTTAGTACACAGAATTTTTCTTTAGTCATTCTAGCAAACATTTCTTTAAAAAAAAAATTGAAACTAATCTGGCAGCACAGACTATACCATGCGCCAAATTTAGTTTGCAATGAGTGCTTTGTTCCCCATAAAAACAAATATCAGAGCAACCAAATGCACATTACTTAAAATATACAACAGCGATATTGCCCATTCCCTAAAGACCGTCAAACTGTACAAAATGATTGCATTCCTCTGGAATACGGGTGAAGTGTTAATGTTCTTCGTTGGCTAGAGAATCAACAAATTCCTCTAACATCTAGATTGGCCATGTTTCTTGGTATATCTGCCAGAAATTCCTCAGATATCCTGGTCTTGGATTTATGGACTGAGAGGTTTATGATATTTCAGGGAGTAGAATCGGCTATTGTTTTGCGTATTAGACAAGTCAGGTAAATGCAATAAAAGCTGTGATTGGGCTCGGGGCCTAAAAAGTGAAGCAGGTCTGACAATAACCATTTTCTATGCAATTTCCAAACAGGCTTCAGCTAGGCAAAAGGCGAAATACTGATCATAACAGAGTCTCAACAATGATTTTTCCTACTTCTGATTTTGAGTTTCCAGTATGGCTCCTTCATAGAAAGCCAGCAAAGGTTTTAATGATGGGAGGTAGCATGATAAAAATATTGTCATGCTGATGACTCCTAGTAACTAAAGGTGCACTAGGCGCGAGAAAACAAGCACAGATCTGAAATCTGCCCTCAAACTACTTATTATCCAAAAAGTTAAGGCAAAGGTAAAGCAGCAGTGGTATAACTTCTAAAATATATGTACATTAGAGTTACCTATACGAGGCCTATCTCTATAGAGCGCTTGCCCACTGTCACTTCCCTGGGGACTTCTCAGAATACCCCAAGGATAAGCCCTACAGGCTTATTTATAATGTCCCTGACTCCACCCATCCCCTTGATCCACAGCTGATTGGACCAGACATGACACCTGACTCAAGCTGAGCCAATCAGATGCTCTTCATTTGGAATTGCTCTGCTGTTAAGCCTGTGGTCCAAACCAGAGGATCTGCGGGGCTGTCTGGGAAACCACCTGCTGCAGGAAGGAGTGAGGAAGCAGAGCACAGTGACCTGCAGGGAGAAGGACAACACACAGGAAATTACCGTGGTGGGGTAGAAGAGTGGCAGGAACAGAGATCAGTTTCTGACAGCTTTCCTGTTTCAGATTCTAGTCCCTGGAGGGATGGGTTCTCTGTGCAAGTCTGGCCAACTCTTTATGACAAAGCGCCACCTTCTCGTTTATGCTGGTTTGGGTGGATTTCTGAGGTCGTGGGCTGAGGACACGCGTGCTCTGGGATTCAGGCAGAAGTTCTGTCTTCACTTCTCCAGTGCCACGTGGGGGAAGGAAGGAGGACGAGTGGGATTTAGTGAGGCTGGGCTGGGCACTGCGGCAGTCCCTGTCCACGGCCAGGGCCTGCTGGAGTTGTGGGTCTGAACGCCGCGGGGCTTGGGAGATGCTGGTTAGTGGGGGTGTTAATTTGGTTCTTTAAAAAAGGAAGCATAACAGTGTGAATGATGACATCCGAGCGTCAACAATACAAAATTAAGCCCGTGGGAAATTTTAATTATGATAGCTAACACAGGAAATTGCATTTATGTATGGAAACTAAATTTAGAAGCCTGGACAGATTAACAGGATCCCTCCTAAGTCCATGTAAATAGCCCATGCCAGGTGTGAGGAAGTAACTACAGTCGCAGGGGCTGGCTGGGCAGCAGGCCCCTTGCTGTCCCAAAGTCTTAAGGAAAATAAAGGGCTTTTCTCTGGACAAGAGCACTTTTTAGAAGTGTTATCTTATAGGTTAGGAGGGAATGAACAGTTTTGGAAAGAATCATTTTCAAGGCTGTTCCTATTCTCTCCCTGCTTGGTGTCAGTAAACAAGGAAAGGGTGGGGTCATGACTTGGATTTGCTCTGTGCAGTGTTAGTGTGGCCTCGGCCAGAGGCAGGGCCCAGTAGGAAAGGGGAAGTGTGGGAGTGGGTGAGGCTCCTATCAGGCTCCTTCCTCTCACCCCACAGCCCCTACTTAGTGTTCCCTCCTTCCCTGGTGTCCCCTCTACCCACTTCAAGTCCCAGTGGCATGAAAACTGGGGGCAGGGCAGAGGCAGAGGAGTGACATGAACAGTGGTTCCATAAAGTAAAGACATTAGAGTTGGACAGAGGTGAGTAAAGCTACGGTACTATCACCAATACTGCTCTCAGACCCAGACCCATACAAGAGGGCCTCTGCCCTTGGCTGTGACCTCTCGTGGACCCTGCTCTGACCCTTCTCAAGGCTCACTCCACCCCATGAAGTGAAGAGTGCACAGAGCCAAGAGAGCATGCCCACCAGAGCCCACATCTCCCCCTCAAGACCATGCCCCAGGTACTGAGACTCCAGAATTCCCTGTGCAAATGGCCCTGAGCCTGTTTCCACGGCCTGTATAGTCCTCTTCCTAGGTTTTTGCACCCAAGGATGCATATCTCCTAGATCTCAGGGTGACTTGGGGATGGCTGTTTGCAGAGAGTGTGAACAAGGGTCGGATGGTGCACACTGGAGTATCCACACTTGAGTTTCAGGGGTGGGAAGAGAAGGGCACCAGGCCAGGGGCTAGGGCCTGACTTTCCATGCTACATTGCCTTTTTCTGGTGCAGACCAAGGAGTCTGAAAATTCTAATTTTGAATAATCTGGCCTTCCAGGTTGTTATGAAGGTTTGTCAAAGTAGAAGAGAACATATTTAACTGTTAGCCTGATACATAACTTTTGCATATTTTTTCGTATGGAATATGGGCATCTATTTATACTTTCACCCCAGACCCCCCCCCCACATTATAAGGGTGGGCCATGCAGTCACTTCAGCACTGTAACCTTAGATAAGAACTTTAGACCTCTGAGCCTTAGTTTCCTCATCTGCAAAATAAGGATAATAACAGTAACAGTTCTTGTGTAAATTAAAAGTGTAATTAGTTATAATTATTGTTGTGTGCCCTTGGGTAAGTTACTTAATCTCTCTGTGCCTCAGTTTTCTCATCTGTCAAATGGGAGGATGATAACAGTACCTGTCTCTGAGGGTTGTTATCAATTAACGCACGGGCCTGAGAACAGTGTCTGGCGCACAGTGAATGACAAATGTAAATGTTAGGTGGCGGTGTTGTACACTGCCCACCACCACGACCACCACCTGTCTGATTGGATTAAAGAAACAGTGTAGTAGTGTGCAGGTCACTGTGAGACACACCTCTGCCACATTTCTGAGCTTCTTTGAGATGCGCCTCATAATCCAGATTCACTCTCCCTGTGATTACAAAATCCCTACCACACTTCTTAGGGAAGCATGAAGCCTGTTCCTCCTTCCAACTGCAACTGTTGCTTTAGCCAAGTGTAACCTGATGAATACAAACTAAGAGACCTGTCCTGGGATAACCTTCATTCTTGTCTGTGAAAGGCTTTGAGATCCCACTCAGAAAGGTGCAAAACAAATCTTACATCTCTGGGCAGAGACGTGGTGGTGGCAGAGAGTGAGGAATGGGAGAGTTGGCCCCTCTCCTGAGATCCACTGATTGCCACTTCTTTCTGTGGAAGAGTTTCTGCAGCCCTGTGTGTTGGCAGGCTCTCAGAGCTGGACTGGGTTTGGGAATTAACTGGAAATGTTAATTTTTCAAATATCTGGACAGGCCTGATCTTCCATAAGAAGAGACTTGATCACATGGGAAGACCTATAACAACAGAGCTACAAAAGTGTTTCCCAACTGTAAGTCTCATTTCTTTCAACTATACAACACTGCCTCTGTGGATCAGCAGCTCTTTCCTTTGCTCAGTACCTGGGCAGCCCAAGTTGTTTGTTTCAACTTCACAGGAGATCACCAATGGGCAGCTTAGATACCAGAGCCCTCCGTGGGAGTGAAACTTAAGAAGGGCACAGGGAGGCCACTGGCAAACTGGTAAGCATCAAGCTCCCAGATCCTCAGCTTCCATGGCATCCTCCCCTCAAGAACCCATTGCAGGCAGGTTCTTCCTATGTCCCTGTGCCCTACAGACACGTTTCATCTTAGGAATGTTGTATTCCTTATTCATATTAGGGTATGAGTAAGAGCATACAATATTATATCTCAAACATTTTCCTGCTAAAAATGCTTAAGAAAGCCCTAAGTCAAAGAAAATTAGGATCTGCCTGTGCAATTTCAGAGAGCAGTCAGAAGTTGAACAGGAGTTTTGTGAGGGTGTGGGCATGGGCAATGAAGCTCTCATCTCAAAATTCATTTTTTTGGCCTTATTGTTCTTCTGCCCAAGCTTTCACATACGATGTTAGATGTGAATTCTACCAGTTCATTGGCATTACTGTGGATTGGGGCTAGTTGTACAGCTATTCCTCAGTGCCCATGAACAGTGACCACTAAATACCTGTGGCCATGGCCATGGTTTCCATGGAAGCCTTTGTTTTGAAGTTCCCTTCTCTTGATGGCCAAGAGCTTCAAGTTCTGTGGATAGTCATTAAATGATGACCTGACCATCTTTTATTTGTGTTTGGTGGTTCTTATTGCATACTTGCACATATACACCATAGGAATGGAACCATTTTTACATATAGAGAAATGCTAGAGTGAGGAAAGCAGCACTGCAGTGCTGCCAATGAGGGTGTACCTGCTTTGATTAGCTTGAGCCACGTCTTCGTTTGTAAGATCCTATTTGGTGCAGGATGCAAACATGTAAGTTGGTTTACATGTTATGCTGAACAAGCCCAGCAATAAGTTTTAAACATCCTTGTGACATTTCTTACAGGGAGTAGTTGCTATGTGTGACTGGCAAGCACTTTTTCAAGAGTTAAATATCTGAGCTATTTTAATTCCTCTGCAAAGTATGAAAAGCAAATTAAGTAATCATAGCACAGTCACTCAAATCAGAAGAATGAGGAGTGCGGTAGTTTTGTTGTTGGTTTTGTTTTGCTTTTTTAAAACTGGTCTGGGTAGGGAAACATGAAATCTGATTGTTAAAATTTGGTCAAAATCTTCAGTCATTAAAAGTTTCTGGGAGATAAATGATACCTCACACAGATGATTGGCTAGGTCAGGATGATTATCCTCGTAGTACAATCAAATCAATATGTATTTGATTGCTGACTGCTGGGTAGTACAGAGTGAGTTTGTAAGTCCAGGGTGTGGGGAAGAGCATTGTAAGCATGTGTTCTGGGTGTGTCCATAAAACAGCAGAACTGTTTTTCTCAACTTTCTGTTGATGAAGCCTGGTTAGTTGGACAGCTGCTGAGGAGTTGAACCAAAGGGTATGACAGTATGTTTCATGCATGAGACCTAATTTAAATGAATCTACCAGTGGTACAATAAGCCATATTCTATGCCAGCTCTCCTCTGCTCAGAAGAAAACACAGATATTGTTAGTTTATTCCTCATGAAGGAAAAGTTTTGATTCCACCCTGAATGTACCTTTGTTTGTAGAGCTGTTTCCTGTTTTCTCTTATCAAAATATTTCAGCTGTACCTTAACAAATTGAGTGGGTATAGGAGGTTCTGTCCCAACTAAGTCAGATGGGTGTGCTTAATCACAGGTTCGAAGCAGATCCACTACATTAGAAATTAGAGCACTTAAAAAAAATAAAAGGAAAAATATTTTTATTCCATTGAGTATCTTCTACTGGAAAAAAAATGCATATGGAAAGAATAGCAAGGATGAAGCAAAATTAATATAGTTATATTATATAACAACGAAAACAGTTGCCATGTAACATTTGTTTCCTTTTATAAATGATGTACATGAGTTTTTCTTTTTGAATATGTATTTATACTTAAGTCTGACAGCAGCTGAGCTTTAAAGGCCTAAGATAGGTTATTGATTTCTGCCCCTTTACAGAGACTTTACTTATCTCAGTGCCATTGTATGTTGACTCAAAATTTTAACATTCAGAGAGTGTGTTTTCCCCCCTAATTCCTATTTCAAGGCTGTGTGCATTTATTTCTCTGTTTCCTATTTCTTGGCTATGTTGGGGGCTAGGAGTGGATAACTTACTTTTGCCCTCATGGACTGCCTACATATGTGAAATCATATTCTGAAGAAATATATTCTAACTCCCTCAAAGAAACCTATGAAAAATGTTTTATTATTGGAGAATATATTCCAGTTTGCTAGCAAATACAGCTTTGGAGCATCAAAAATCGAGGACTTTTTTCTGCTGTTTCTTTCTATAGAGCAGTCAGTAGTATTGAACAAGGAAGAACTGCATTTACTGTTAGTCCAAAGGAGAGAGGACAGCATGGAGAGGAGGTAAGGGAGTTAATCATGTGTCCTAAATTGACTTGACAGCGATGTACCTAGTGCATTCAGTTAACTAATCTTTAATTTTTGTACCAGGCATAGAGCCAGCACATCCAGTTAACCAGGATAAATGATTAAAAAGAACTTTGTAAAAATGCTGAACTAAATTCGCTATCACCAAATATGGGAATCTCTGATGCCAGCTATCTTGCTCATGTGAAATGCAATGACAAGATCCAAATTGCGAGAAAAGGAATCCAACTTGGTTGGGATAGGAGAGACAAAACAAAAACAAAGAATCTTTGGCATACGAATCATTCCTGTTTGGAAATATTTCTAAAGATTGAAGTTAGGCCAATAGTGCACCTAACAGCACAATTTGCAGGCTGCCAATGAACAGCGATGGAACTAAATCCAGCAGCTCAAAGTGGGAGAAAATTGAACGGGCAGAGTCTACCTTCTGAAGATGTTCCTCTTATCGCAGCTTCCTGAGACATTCCAGGATGATGAATTCCAAATTATGTACAGCCATAGGAAGAAAAATATTTGGCCAGCTGTGGACATTAGATTTACTTATCTGCAACCTATTTCCAGCTTTGGAACAATTTCTGCTTCTACCTTAAAACTCACCACAGCCCAGGAGTTTAAGACTCTTATATGAAAGTGTCTTAGGATAGTATATTTTTTGAAAGAAAATTACCCCAGAGAAAACATTTTTAAAAATCATTTTATATTTATACATACAGTGTACATGTGTATGCATATAAATACATAAATATTTTATTTTCACATAAAGGTTGAAATCAAGTAGGTGCCCTGGCCCTCTTCCCTCTGTTGAAAGTTCAAAAAGAAGGGTCTGAGCATGGCTTTTTCCTAAGTTTGATATATTCTTTGGAACATGTTTCACACGATGTTACTTAGGGCTCCAATTAACTACACAAAATAATTATTTCACATACAGAAGAGAAATGACTAATTTTTTAATATAAAAATGAGTCTTACAAAGCAATAAAAAAAGATAAACAACTATGGGAAAATAGGCAAAGGATATATGCAGACAGCTCAGGCAGAAAAATGAACACAAAACAGGAAATGGACATATGAAAATATGCTCCACCTTGCTCAGTTTAAAAATTCAAGTTCGATGATGATGAGATAGAAATTTTCACTTCCAATTGGCACAGATTAAAAAGAATGATAGAACCAGAATAACTTGTGAGGAAAGTCACTCTCCTACACTGTTTGTGAGCATATTAATTAATATAATGTTTTGTGTTGGCAATTTTGCAACATATATTAAAATTGACTCCAAAATTTTACTTTTACTAATGCAATGTGTGACCTTTGATTGGATCCTAAATTCACACACATGAAAAAAAATTATAAAGAACCTTATTGGGACACAATTGTATTGGTGAATCTAGGTGAAGAACAGTATATCTAGCATTATATTTGGGGAAATGCTAGTATAGAAAATGCCCCTTTAACTGAATTGTATTTTGCCCCTTCATACCACATGTTCCCATGAATAAAGTATCTCTTTTAATCCTGGTTATTTATAGGAGAGGAAGATTATTTCCTATCAAACCTAAAACTCTAATTATTACTACAGTTGTTGAGGGATCCTAACATATTCATTTCTAGAATATCTTATCTGGTTATAGATTTCCAATTAGTGCCTAGATACTAACTAGGATTCATTATAAAGTTGGGGGATGTCTGAGATGTAGGGGATCTTAGAGGTCACATGGGATCAATTTTCATCATTTTACAAATGAGCAAAGGGACTCCAATGGGCTACATACCTAACCTATAATCAATTAAAAGGAGAACTGGTTTTGGAAATCTTGCCTCCAAATTCAGTACTCTTACCATAAAACCAATGAGATTTATTTAACCTTTGTTGAACATCAACAATGGACTAGGCATCATAATGGCCTGCCCTGAGATACAGCCCTTCTGCATGGAAAGAGGCTTAGCATTTGAGGAGGAATTGCATGATAATCCTCAAGGGCCAAAGAGCGTCCAAGTCCTAGCACTCCTAATCATGCAGGCAGCCGGCCGAGCCCAAGCCGAACCAAGACATGCCCTTTGCCTGACTTTTGTTACATAAGAAAGCACTGAGAGTTCAAGCCAATACTTTTTTCTCCTTAAAAAAAAAAGAAAAAGAAAAAGGACAAAGCAAACCTACTGCTTATGGAAGATGGATAACAAGAGTCCTAAGGCTTTTACTTATCCTCCTAATAAACGTTTCCCTCACAACACATTCCCAGTAGGCCTCAACCCATCTGGTAGAACGAAGGGGGAGAGAGCAAATCATTCGTTCTTTATAAAATGTGTGTACTGCTTTCTCGACTAGACTAAGACTCCAGATTTACACAACTCCCGTTTTATATTTCCTTCTGAGAATAATCTCCTGACTCCACATGGTGTACTTAAGGAAATCAAAAAGCCCTTCTCACTAAAGCAATTTCCTTTATTGGCTTATGCCCACTCCTTAGGGGCCAATGGAATGTCCTCAATGTTGGAGGTGAGAGTGTGACTTCCTCTTGTAGTGGCACAGATCCTGGGGGAGGGCAGGCAAAGGGCTCCAGAGAGTGCACGGAGCCACAAAGGTGAACAAGGCCAAAGTCTGTAGAGGTAAGTCCAAGTCTAAGTAGCTGGAAGACCATATGCAACCTCACATTTGGAGGCTACCGAGATTGGGACTGTGAAGTTACGGGTTTAGAATTGAATGGAAATGGGCTTGCAGCACAGACGGGTTAGGACCAGGCAGAAGAGTCTCTCAGAAAATAGTCCCAGACTCCAGCTGGCATATGTGGCTTGCTGTTTGTGGCTGGTAGAGTCTGATGTCTTGAAATGGCTGATGTGGCCAGGATCGGGTGGAACCAAATGAGCTGCTGGTCAGTGAACCACAGTTGAGAGTACCAAGGCCTGAGTTAGAGTCTGGAGTGAAAACTGGATCCCCATAAGCAAGGGGGTCAGCAGGATGTGAAGTCAAAGACTTCATTGTTGGTCCAATAATCAAGCCTGACAAATCAAAAGAGCAGCAAGAATCCCAGCATGAAGCCATAGAGAGCAGGCAGCCAAGGTGGCCTTTGTCAGAGGCGTGTAGTGTAGGGCTGGGTAGGGGATGGTTGGAGTGATGCCAGGGCCAAAGAGTGGATGGCATGGCCACTTTTCATTCTGTCTCTGCTGCTCTAAATGGGGATGTATCTGTGCCTTTAAAAGTACCACTGGAAATTTGTTTATTCTGTTTCCTTGTAATTAACTGAAAGTATGAAGAAGAAAGGAGAAGTTTTCTTATGGGGAAGAGTATGCTTACGTTGATTGGAAGTCCTGCTGAAGACCTGCAGAGTTTCAGACATGTAGGCATTCTCCATGCCAGGGCTGGAAGGAGGGGATTTGGCCGAAAGGACTGCTCCATGATTAGCCAGACTGAGTTCCCCAACTGACTGGTTGGGTTTCCAGGGGTCAAGTTGAGGTGCTTACATTTTTGGGGAGGGTACCTAAGGTTACCACTCTTAGCATCTGAACAGCTCAGCTCAGCAGACACATTTATCTTAAGCCCTGAGGGAATGCAAGTAGGAAGCTCAGGTACTAGGGAAGGCTGAGTTCCCAGCATGGAAGCCTGAGAACGCTGGGTGCCAACAGGGCAGGGGAGAAAGGGAGGGTGAACTAAGGGTACTCCAGAACCTACTCAGAGAGGAAGGTAGAGAGGGTGGGGTCCAGCTAATGGGATGCCAGTGTGCTCACCTTTACCCCAAGCTCAACCACAGTAGCTCAGCCTTTGTTTTGCACGTTGGGTTTCTGTGATTTTCTTTCTTTTGGCTTTAGATCATTTGAAAACCACCACTCTATGCCAGCAATGCCAAATGCTGTGCATTTGGCAATGCCAAATGCTTAGCTCTGGGTTGGATGCTCTCTTGGGTATCATGTAGGACCCTCTCCTGAAAGAATTTATGGTCTCTCTGGAAAGCCCAGCTTTATGCAATGGTGAGAAGGAGAGAACAATAGGGCTGGGAGTCAATTGAGTGCAAAGTGATATGTTACAGGCTGCAAGTGACTCACAGTTGAGAGAAAAATAAAAGAGATCCCTCGGTTGTGGAGAGTGGGGGGACATGTTAAAAAAAAGTAAATTTCTGCACAAAAAAAGTGGAACTTGAGCTGAGCCTTAAAGAAGGAGAAGATCTGCAGAAGTGGGGAGGGCATTCCAAGCTTTAGGAACAGCATAAGCAAAGGTATAGATTCAGGAATACACATGGCCAGTGTGGGAAACAGTAAATAGGGAAACATATGGATGATTGACAGTGTTTTCCATTTTTAAAATTACTTATTCAGACTGTATCCTGAGCAAGAACAATTTCCTGTGGTTTATAAATAGGCCCCAGTTATTTTAGTAGAACTGTAACACTGATGATCATTCATGGAATGTTCCACTGAGACTTCAGTTTTCCAAGGGCCAGGAGAAAATACACAAATGTGTAAGAAATGGTCCAGAACCTGAAACAAAGTTTATGCAGAAAATATCTGTTCTTAACTGAGTACTTGTCTCTTTCTCCCCTTCTCCCTCCTAGATTTGTTCCTGATTTACTATGCAAAATGCCTAAGGCTTTTGAAAGAACTAGAATAGAAATTGGGAGATAAAGAAACAGGCACAAGAAATGAAGTCATTTGTTCAAGCGCACAGGGAGGGCGGTGCCAAGGTTACAATTCAGGATGCCATCTCAAATTTCCTTTAACTGATGATCTTGAACACAGGATTCCTACCTGCCTGCATAACCTAAGAAGCCATCCATTAGCATAGCACAGGATTCCAATTCCCCTGATTTCTAAGATGAGAACCTTCTCACTAGTCTGGTATGTTTCACAGGTTGGGAATCCCAATTGCCTATACTTGAAAAACATTCATACATGTTATATGGTATCCAAAAGAAAGAAGATACTTTTATTGGTAATTAATTAGGTTAATTGGTTGTTAACAAAAACTTGTATTTTGTTTGCAATTAGCATCATTCTCAATTTTCCTATACAAAACTGTTCTATTTTCGGATCTGTTTCACTAGCATTTGCATCACTACACACTGTTCATTTTGGCCTAAGAGAGATTATGAATGAACAAATCTCTTTGATTTGTATTTTTCCTTTAGGTTCCTCTTACCATGGACTCAAAAGGCAAAAATGAACCCATGATTATCCTAAATATTCTACCCTCCAGTCATAATGCAGTTGGTAAAAGAGGGAGCCTGGACTTCACTCACAGCTTTGAGTGATTAAAATTAAATTTTAGGCCAGGTGCAGTGGTTCATGCCTGTAATTCCAGCACTTGGGGAGGTTGAGGCAGGGGGAGTCACTTGAGACCAGGAGTTTGAGACCATCCTGGGCAACATAGTGAGATCCCGTCTCTATAAAATAAATAAACTAATTAAATTCCAGTAGCAGCAGAAGCAAACTACTTTATTACAAAAACTTTTCTACAAAATACCCAGCAGTCAATCCTATCATGTATCTAAAGAAATTACTATTCAAAATCTCCAAAATTGTGAAATAACATGACTACTAGTGATTCTATAAGTTTTTGCAAGAATTTGGAGTTATATATAAGCCTTCACCCATACCCCAGCTCTCTAAATAAGAATGAGTATTATTAGGTAGCACTGTCACCCTTACAATAAGCTCATTTTATAGTA